CCATCATCCAAGAAAAATTCTAGTAAACTTTCCCGACTTGATGCCAAGAAGGAAAAGATTCCCCCTATTGTGATAACCACTTCCGATTTCCATGCTCTTCGCATGGAACTTTTGAACTTCGTGAAAGTTACGTTTTCACTACAAATTGGACGTCGGGTGAATGCCGTGTATTGGCTGAAACCTTGGACGGATTTAAATGTCTTCTCAAGTATCTTACTGAGAAGAAGCACACATTTTTTACTTACGACACCAAAACTGAACGTGTGTTCAAGGTTGTCATGAAAGGACTGCCCAGTGGTCAATCCCTGGATCAGGTCAAATATGAACTGGCAAAATTACTTGGAGTTGTGCCACTTCAAGTAATCAAAATGTAAATGAAATCCCGTCCTGGCGATTCGCGCAACGGGATTTCTAATGATTTTTATTTAGTTCACTTCAAGTCTAGTGAACTAAACAACCTTAAGGCCTTAGAAAAAGCTAGCCTTATGCTCCATGTCCGAGTGAAGTGGGAACACTTCAGGAAGACTGGAGGAAATTTCCAAAACCTCACCCAGTGCCGTAAGTGCCAGGGATGGGGTCACGGAACTGAAAATTGCTACATGCCAGCTAAATGCATGAATTGTGGTGATTCCTCTCACGCAAAGGACGACTGTTCTGTGAAGGAAGATCCTAAGAAATTTAAATGTTCAAATTGTGGTGAAAACCACAAATCCAATTTTTGGGAATGTAAGACTCGCAAAGCGATCCTACAATCTCATTCAAAGTGACAGGTAGGAAACGCTCCTCGTTTCCAACAGGTACAAATTACTCTGCTGTTAACAACGGTCTGCGAGGAACAAATTCTACATTCGTACCCGTAGGTACAAATATCACCCTGCTTCAAATTTTTCATCTGTACCTACTCCCCTCGCTGCTAACAATGTTCAGCGAGTTAATGGAGCAACCTACCCAAGTAACAATTAAGGTTTTATGAGGGTTCTGTAGACCTTGTTTTAGACTTGTAGCATGCATTAAAACCTCGATAAAACTTGCAATGTTACTTGGGTATGCTGCTATTGCATCGGGTAGAAATCAAAATACTAACCAACGTAATTCTAACGGAAATTTTGACTTAGTAAGCATTACTGCCCCTAAAATGGAATTTTACAGAAATCATTAATTGACATGATTTCTGATATGCTTAAATCTAACTCCATGTTTGATGCTGTTCAAACTGGAGTAAAATTTGCGAACAATATCGTCACGACTTTGAAATTCAGTAATGGATTTTAAATCATTAAATATTTTGAATTGGAATGCTCGATCTCTTAAAGATAAAGAAGACGAGCTATTTAACTTTTTGAGAGTTCATAACGTGCATATTGCCGTTATAACTGAAACGTTCCTTAAAGCTCACCATAAGGTTAAAAGGGACGCCAATTATTTCATTAATCGAAATGATCGTCTTGATGGACCTTGTGGTGCCGTTGACAAAATTGTTCATAGCCGAATCAAACATAATTTTTTTTTCTTCATTTGAAACCAAAGTTTTGGAAACTCAGGGAGTTTTGTCGAAACAAAATTTGATCAACTTACGTTTATAACTGCCAATTTGCCATTCCAATGCGTAGGCCAGCAAAAGAATTTTCTCAAGGGTGACCTTCAGAAACTTACCCGTTTGATGATTGTTCTGCAGGTTATTATACTATTCAATATCCAAACAGCCCAACATGCTTTTCTTCTACAAGAAATCTCTCCACTATTGATTTGGTCTTAACTGATTCATGTCAACTTTGTAGCCAATTGGTTACCCATGCTGACTTCGGTTCTGATCACCTTCCAGTAACTTTTGAAATATCCCAAGAAATAATTTCTAATCTCAACAGCTCTACTTTCAATTACCATAGGGCTGATTGGGAGCAATATCGAACATTTATGGAATATAACTTCGATCCAAACATTCCTTTGCAAACCAAAGATGAAATTAATAATGCTCTTTAATCTTTGACTACTTCTATAGTTGAAGCAAGAGCTGCCTCAATACCAAAATGCGAGGTTAAATTCGATTCAATTATAATAGACGACGATCTTCAGCTCTTGATCCGTCTTAAAAATGACCGTAGGAGACAATATAAAAAACACGCGATCCTGCCATGAAAGTTATCTGCCGGGATTTGCAAAAACAAATTAAAAAGCGATTCTCTGCCCTGAGGAACAAAACTTTTAAAAATAATGTTTCTAAATTAGACCCGAGTTCCAAACCCTTTTGGAAACTCACAAAAATTTTGAAAAAACCTCAAAAGCCTATTCCAGCCCTTAAAGAAGGTGGTACAATTTTGATCACAAATTTGGAAAAAGCTCAGAAACTTGCTAAGCAATTCGAGAGTTCCCATAATTTCAGTTTGGGTCTTACTAGTCCTATTGAGAATCAGGTTGCTCGGGATTATCTGAATATTTTCTCTCGGGAAAATATTTTTGATGATTCCTGGGGGACTGTTTCGGACGAAGTAAGGTCTATAACTAAAAAGTTTCATAAAATGAAAGCTCCAGGGGATGATGGAATTTTCTATATCCTCACCAAAAAACTCCCAGATGTTTCCATTTGGCATACTTTCCTGATAAATGGAAAAATGCAAAAGTTGTTACAATTTTGAAGCCGGATAAAAATCCAGCTGAAGCTTCTAGCTACCGTCCAATAAGTTTGCTTTCTTCAATAAGTAAACTTTTTGAAAAGATAATTTTGAATAGAATGATGCTTCACATCAATACGAATTCAATTTTTGCAGATGAGCAGTTTGGATTTCGCCATGGGCATTCAACTACTCATCAACTCTTAAGAGTTACCAATTTAATTCGTTCAAACAAATCTGAAGGCCACTCAACTGGAGTTACTCTTCTAGACATAGAAAAAGCATTCGACAGTGTTTGGCATGAATGTTTGATTGCTAAATTGAAAAAGTTTAACTTTCCACTTTATATTATGAAATTAGTTCAAAATTATTTAACTGACAGAACTCTGCAGGTAAATTATCAAAATTCCAAATCTAATCGACTACATGTTAGAGCAAGAGTTCTTCAGGGTAGCATTCTTGGTCCTGCATTCTTGGGCTTGTATAACATTTTCACTTCGGACCTCCCTGATTTGCCTCAGGGTTGCCACAAATCTTTGTTCGCTGATGACACAGGCATTTCCGCTAAAGGAAGAAGCCTTCGTGTTATTTGCAGCAGACTGCAGAAAAGTTTAGATATTTTCTCTTCTTATTTACAAAAATGGAAGATTTCTCCCAACGCTTCCAAAACTCAACTTATAATATTTCCACATAAGCCTAGAGCTTCCTTTTTGAAACCTAGTAGTAGTCACATAGTCACTATGAACGGAGTTCCAATTTCCTGGTCCATTCAAGTGAAATATCTTGGATTAGTACTTGACCAAAAATTAACTTTTAAAGATCACATTGAGGGCATTCAAGCCAAATGTAACAAATATATAAAATGTTTGTATCCTCTTATAAATTCAAACTTTGCCCGACGAATAAACTTCTAATATTTAAACAAGTTTTTAGACCGGCCATGCTTTACGCTGTGCCAATATGGTCTAGTTGTTGCACTACCAGGAAAAAAGCAAAGGATTCAGAACAAAGTTCTGAAGATGATTTTGAAGTTGCCTCCCTGGTACAGTACTACCGAGGTACATAGAATTTTGAATGTTGAGACTTTAGAACAAATGTCCAACAAAATTAATAATAATTTCAGGCAAAAATCATTGCAATCCTCAATTGCAACGATTAATTCCCTTTATACTTAGATAAGATTTAGTTTTAAGATTTAAATTGTTATACTGACATGCAGGTTTAAAAAACCTGTTTAAAATACTGAATTGCCAAGGCAGGAACAATGTAAAAACACTTAGATATATATCATAACAATTAAGGCTGGTAAGTTACTGTAGTAACTGGAGCACCTAGGTTAAAAATGAAATGTAATTTATTTTGAATTTGGAACAAATGAAGAGTTTAAAAAAAAACAATTCTACCCGATATAACAATCACTTTAGGAAACCAGAACGTAGAAAAGTGTTATAGAGTCAGGGATCTAGGTGTTATTTTGGACTCAAAACTTACTTTCACCGATCATTATAACACAATTTTTAACAAAGCTAACAACATGTTGGTTTTATAAAACGTTTCTGCTTTAACTTTCACGATCCGTATACGATAAAAACATTGTACATTGCTTATGTAAAGTCGATATTAGAATATTGCAGCAAAGTTTGGTCTCCTTTTTTAATCACACACGAAGAAAGAATAGAGCCCGTTCAAAAGCAGTTTCTATTGCATGCACTCCGCAAGTTAGGTTGGACCGTATTTCATCTGCCATCTTACACAGCTCGGTGTATGCTCATAAATATCCAAACATTAAAAGAACATCGTGAATTTGCTATGATTTCATTCGTTAACGATATCATATCACATCGCATTGATTCAATAGAACTATGTGAACGATGATCCAGGATGAAGTGTTACTTCTGTTTGTCTGTGCTTCAATCATCTCACCTGGCTTCTTAAATTCCTCAAAAGTTTTCTATGATGATCAGGTAACTTCAAAACAGTTGAAATATTTTTTTGACAAGTTCAATAAACTTCAGAGAAGTTCAATAAACTTCAGAGAAGTCCAGCGAAGCCTCCGAGATGTAAGGTGAATCTCATAAAGACGCAGGAGAATTTGAAGCAAATTGCTGTAATTATAATAACTAAACCATATTTTACTACGTTCGAACAATATGTTTAACGACAGTCATATTGCAAAAAGATTACAGGGCCTGGCGTAGGGAAGTAAAGCGGTTCAAAGCCACAAATGATCTAAAATTAGTTATATAAATTCGAATACCACCACAACTCGGTTGTGTGCGATACAATTATAGATTGACATTCCTTGAGAACCACAGTTTTTGCAGGCATTAACTTTGAAATCTGTAAACTTTATTATCATCACCGACATTTTTTCATTGTAAAACTACTCACCTTATAAATTGTCGCAATGTAACATGTAACCTGTAACCTGAAATGATAGAAAAAACGTTAAATTATTACACATGTTTACCAACGAAAATGTCTTTATGCAGTCAAAAAAGTGAATTCCAATATTGATATAACGCGAATGCTCTCAAAAAAAAAAAATCCTCAAAAGTCTTCACTCTTCCGAATTTGTCATAATTCAATGCAACTGTTGGCCACCGGCCAACAATCCTCACCGCAAGCAGACAGCCTGAATCTCCGGAGAAAGACGAATCGAACCCCTCCAGAGCGAAATTGCCGCATCATTCTTCCATTTATCACCATCTCAATGTCAACCTACTAGAGGAAGATTCTTTTCCACAGTCGGAGGAAAAACATTCCCCGTCTTCCCCTTTTTCCACCATCACAGTACGGTAAAACTTTTCCAATGGTTCCCCCATTCAGCCGATTCACTGGTGTGTGAACTCTCTCTGGATCTGGACTGGATTGTCCTTTTTCTCGGCGAGTTTTTCTTTCCCATCCACCCCATGTACATGCGAGCGAGAGGAAAAACTTTTGATTGGAGTCCAGCCGAGAAAATGGCATTGCAAACACGACATGGTGCCGCCAGCTTGTCCGGAACACCCGTGTGCTGCTCGTCGTCCTTTCAAAAATCAATGCGTGCCTTTCCCTACCCCACCCGCGTCTGCCCGTGTGGGAAATCCTGGCGAAATGTTCCGGCAAACTTTGGTCATTTCCGGGTCGGACACGTCGGACAGGTCAACCGACCGACGACCAATCAGACGAGTATTGTTTCTTCTTCTAGAAGGCGAAACAGGCTCCGATGGCCATGAAGTTGACCCTCTCTAGACAGTTTAGAAAAGGCGGTAAGTTGGTTCTACCTAGTGTTAGGAAATTTCGGGGCTCGGCGGTTCCGAAAACCGGAGCAAAAATCAATAAGCAATTATACTCGACAAGGGGTTCTGAGGAAAGTTTTTCTGCAGCTATAGTGCAAGCGGTTCGAAGCTACAAATCAATTCAATTGTTGGCTTCTGGTGCCAATAATGCACAAGGAAATTGTGTCTCGGGCTGGCTGATTGAGTCTGACTACCCAACCACCGACGGGGGATAGTTGTGGGGAACTTTAATCGGTTTGTGGTTTTTCGAGGGAGGCAACATAGTGCAGGGTAATCGATAATTTACGTTCGGGTGGAGTGTTGTTGAGCAAAAATTGTTAGACGAAAGTTGAAATTAGTTTCGTTTCGGTGCCCTTGTTCGGAGCAGTGTGCGGTTGACTTGAATTGGCTGGTTGCATAATTTAGGTTGGCAGAAGTAGATTGAATGGTAGGTATGTCGGAGTTTCAATAGAATGAGACAATGTGCTTCTAATTGAGTGCTTTTGTTCGGCGAACAGTGGAGTATGCAGATTTTTCGAAAGATCTTGGGAAATGAGAACGTCAATGACAATTGATACAGAGTAGATTTGATGAATGCTTAAAAATTCTGCTACTAAACATACCCGGATGAACAGTGCGGTGTATGGGGATTTGTCCTATTATGGACCCTTTGGTCTACCTATTGATACATTTTATTTGAAACTGTACCGATTTACCAATAATTTGAAATACGCAATGTTTTTCCAATGAACATATATCAGATTAAGGAAAAATGGTGGTCAAAATCAATTCGCTACTGAAAACCGTTCATTTCAAATAAATTTCCTAGCAATCGCTATTCACTTATTGAAACATATTATATGTGACCATCTCCAAGCTATATAGTGAAATAAAAATGCTTTTTTTTTAAGGAATTCATAGAAGGGCGTCTGATTTGCGTTACCCAAGTAACCAAAAGTCCCGCATTCAACGATAAAACCCACTTTCAAGTTCCATATAGTTTCGATGCGTACTCCTAGCAACATGAAGTTCCAAAAAAGTTCAAAAAAGCATTCCTATGCACTTCTTAGGAACTTCAGGCAAGGCTGAAAACATGGCCACAACAAAGTTCCGAACAAGTTCCCAGTGGAACTTCTTAGCAACTTTAAAGTGTCTTAAAAGTTCCGTGCGGAACTTCTTAGCAACTTGAAAGTTTCTTAAAAGGTCCGTCATAGCCCGCATACATCAAGTCTTTATTATTAACAAAATTTAATATACATAAAAATGAAATGATCCGTAGCTCAAATAAATCACAATTCTTATATTTATGAAGTGCATCAATATTCTATCCCAACATTGAAAAAATAGAAGGACAATTTCCTGGATTCGAACCCGTGTATTCGGCATACGATTTACGAACGCTAACCACAACGCCACGGGGCCTCATAGCCTAGTCAGTAAAGGCACGGTATTACCAAGCCGGAGGCGGCGGGTTCGATTCCCGGTCCGGTCAAGGGAATCTTTCGGGTTGGAAATTTTCTCGACTTCCCTGGGCATAGAGTATCATTGTGCTTGCCACACAAAAGTGCATTTAGAACACTAAGTTGAGAGCACGCAATAAGCTAATATGCACTAAGCAAAAAGCTTGAAATGCGAATAAAAAGAAGAAGAAGAACAACTGCGCCACAAGTGTGTTGGAATATAATGCGGGCAAACACCAATTTAAAATTCATCAAGGTGTATTGTTTCGTATTCAAATCAGTCAGCTGAAAACTCCAACAGTAGGCGGGACAACAGCTCACTTTAAAATATCTCAGGTGATGTAGCGGCTCTTCTGCAGAAGGACTGGGTGTAATTCTTCAAACAGCTCCAATACTACTACTAATGCGGATAAATCAATACACGTTCATACCTGCCTTTAAAAATAATTTGCATAAAGACCTGACTTCAGAATTAACTTTCATAAACTGCGAACTAAATATAAAATTGGTGTAGAGGAGAAAAACCTTTTTTTGAACTTATTTTCTAAAAGTACCGTTCAAGTTCCGCCAGAAGCTGCTTAGAATGCTCTTCAATTATGGTACCGGAACTTTCAAGTTCTTATAACGACTTAAAAATGAGGAGCTGCTTAGCATTCTAAAGACCACCTTCAACCAAGCTGCTTAAGCCACAAATAGTCTTTTATCAGAACTTTTGGCTACTTGGGAAAGCTTTGCATAATTGTTTGTTATGGCTAATAAATCACATTTGAGTTGAACTTCACCCATTTTGAGCTCTTGAGACTTGTGAAACGGGATAGCAGTGTGGCAATTGCAGTTTGAATGATTATTTATTTGACCTTGTAGAGTCGTCAGTGCTCTTTAACCTTTATTTTACGGGCTTAGGAAATCTACTTTTCATTCCATGGACTCATCTGGAGACCAGGCAAACGTTGCTGACCATCGTTATTGTGTAGCCAAGAAGGGCTGTGCCGTCAACATCCGTTCTGTCCAAAGGGAATCATCAGGTAATCGAACACGCTCTGATAGCCCAAGTAACATTGAAGGTTTTATCGAGGTTTTATAGCATTCTACAAGCCGTAATCATGGTCTACAGAACCCTCATAAAATCAAAATTGTTACTTGGGAGGTGGATTCACCGTTGGCTTGTTGAACACGAGGTTGCACCACAAAATCCAGCCAACTCTGAAAAAAAAAGTAAGAATTCCATACGAACCACTTATGAATTTTAGCCACAAGAAATCGGTATAACTTTCATTGATATCCCTTATGAAAAATAATGTTTCAAAAAGTTGAGCCTAGAATCGAACCCTGGACGTTGAGATTACAGGGCCCATGTGGTGACCACATGCCTTTCAACGCTTGGACAAATAAAATTTAGATAAACATTTCAAAGGGTCCTATCTGCTTTGATCGATTTTCTTCGTTGATTTTCTCTTTTGATAACCGCGGTTATGCAAAAAGAAGGTTCTTATTGAGCATCCAAAACTTCAAACACAACAGAGAATGTTTTTGCAGCTGAGCTATTAACGAAAGAGAAAGTCGATGAAGAGAATCGATCAATGCAGATAGGACCTCTTGAAATGTTTATCTAGAAATGGTTGAAGGCGTATAATAACTACCTCATGTTAGTCGAAAATCATTCATAAGTCACGCTCACGGAATTCATATGCGTCGTTCATAAATCGAGCCCTATGAATAATTCTTCAGTTTATTTGCCTCAGTGAAGACAAGCGAATCCAAGCCATCGCCGAACAAAGCATACCATTCAACAATAGCTAGCTGAGTCAGCACATGCAACAATAGTGACAGCCATCGATTGATCCATTTGATGATTCGAATGTTTTGAAAATGCTCTTCTTGGACCCATTACGGTTTACAGGATATTTTTAAAAGCTTCATTGAGGCTGTAGAACGTCAACATCATAGCTCCATAGTTAATAGTTTGGAGAGCATTAATTTTCTCAGTCGATGAAAAACTATCTTGGGCTTCCCAGACGCATAAAGATTTTCAGGACATTGTTCAAGACTTCATTGAGCTTGTAGATCTTCAATATTTTAGCTCCAGAATAGTTTGGAGAGCAATACATATCTCAATGATACCATTCCATGACGTGTATGTTGTCAAGACGCTGTCTTGAGCTAGCTGGACTCATAAGAAATTGCTCAAGAATTCATTGAGTCTGTAGAACTTCAAGAACTGAACTCTATTGAACTTCATGGATCTTCAAGGTCTTAACTTCAGAATACTTTGGAGAGCAATAAATGTCTGAACACACCTCTAGACGTTCAAACATTCACCTGTCGTTCTCTGCCATCATTACCTTTAAACACTTCTTCGACGATCCCTCTGATCCAGTTCTTCCTCCGTGCGCCATCTACGACAAACACTAAACCGCCTACCTGTATCGCTTTGCGCTCGTTGATCCATTTTGTCCGCTTGTTTATTGTCGGCAAGTATTCTTTGCACCAGCGCTGCCACATTTGGTCGGCCAAGTACTGCGAGCGTTTATACGCATTCCGCAGAGCTTCCGCAAAGTCCACAGCGCCGTCCACAACCATGTCTGCATCCTTTATAACGCCACGGAGAACGTGGTTTGGTGTTATTGCTGCAGCTTCTGCAGAATCTTGTGGGAGATAGGTCAAAGGACGAGTGTTTATCATGTCCTCTGCCTCAGACAACGAAGTCAGC